ATATTGGTAATAAATGCGAACAGACCTGAGATCAGTCTGTTTGACTTTATAACAATTCTCGCTCTCGGGAGAAATGAACTCCAGTCAATCCAATCATACAACCAACAATGATAAACTAATACTCCTAATCAACAACAATGAATTAAGTGATTAACAATCAAATGAACCAGTCGTGCCGTTTTCATACTTTTTTTACTTCACAGTAATCTTTACGGGTGTTTTTCAATGTTTTAATAACTGCATTTTATTGCCGCGTATGCCGAACTTGTTTCTGTAATCGAAGTACCCTTTCATCACTCGTTACGATCACCTGAAGCTGCCGCCAAAAAATCTTCATCGCAATTTCTTCCTCGGCATTTTGTTATTATCCGGCTTCTGTTGCCCGAACAGCCTCCTCTGGGTTCCGCGCACCACATGGGTTGTTTTTTTTCGGTGAAAGGAGCGCGAATGCAACATCCATTATGCAAATAAAAAGTTGGCGGGAGTGGCGGTGCTCTAACTGCTGGTTGTAGAAAAGTTATCAAAGCAGCGAGTTTGAATACACAAGAGGAAGAGAACGGATGGACTCATCTCGATTTGAACATGATCATCTTGCCCCGGTCGACTGATGGCTGCTTAAGCAACTCCTTCAAATGCTAATGCGCAGCCTATAGAGATATCTTTCCTCAGATTCCATGCGATTCCATAAAACGTCTGGCGTTTTCTCGACTGGTGTCGTTGTTTTGAAACTGTAAAGGATACAAAAATACATCCAGTAGCCGGGTGTCATCGATATATTGTTAGGCTGCTCTAACAGGACTTCTAGCCTAATAACGCTCGTGAGATTTGGCGTCGCTGAGAGGGGTGTATGTTGTCCCGTACAAGAATGGTGGTGACGCTTTCAGCACCTCATCTCCAGCCAACTTAAAGGAACCTACTCCACTATCTAGGCAAAGCGGAGACTAGCACTTAATTTTTCTAGAATCAATTTTTATCGTTAAATTTTCCAGGCTATGTCTCATGCTTCGGGTAATGAAACTGAATTGGCGCGTTTTTCTAAGAATCATTTTGCTGAAAGTCGAATTTTTTGTGTAGATACATTTTCCTTTGAGAGAACGGTATCGCTATAGCAATTTGGAACCATAGTCCAGTCAGATTCCATGAAAATGAAGCCCTCCTTTTGCTTTTCATTGGGTTGGACTTTTCATTACGTCCCTGCTACCGCAGTTCGCTTTTCGCTATATGTAACACGCAAGTTACCCATGTTTCATCACACACTGGCTGCATCTGATTCACTCATCTGAACAATTGCAGACGTCCACGTCTTAGTGTTGCGAGGACCTGTTGCATCACTTGTTTCGACGTGTTTTCAGAAAACGTTTTTGAGGCAACGGAATGTTTTCCGCATTTTCAAGCAACTGTGTGACCAGTCATTTTACCATTCGAGACAACTATGAAACACAAGCGACAGTTTGGATAGATACTGTGAGGTGATCTAATTTCGCAACATCTTGTTCAACTGCCTAGTTGTTTCATATCAAAATTGAATAGGCACTCGAGAAAACTTCAGACAATGATCACTCATGCGATTGAGATGTCAACGTGAAAATTGTTTTCGACTATCAAGCTGTAAAGGATGTGGATTTATTGGACAACGTCTCATATTTCCAAAAATATAGGATAGGTGAGTACAGTGAGAGATTAGCCATAGAACGGAAGGAAGTAACCTTGAGGACTAAGTTAAAGAACGTTACACAATTTTGATTCTAGGCGCCTGGTAACTGCTTCGTTGCGTCTTTCTAGAAGCTAGAGATTAGAAATGCAATCAAAGTTTCAGTACAGCCGGCATCTACGAGATACTTTTAACAACCATCAGAGTTCATCATCATTGACAGCAATACAGCAGTATTGGAGATGTTCACCAACAGCTACAAGAAGCTGTTCCGCTCAATGCTTTGCACACAGGTTGCCCAAAATCTACTTCATTCTATAGGTATACTCATAATCTACATGTGGTTCAAGGTGATCAGAATTTGTAGGCCTTTCTTTGCCACCAATACCCTCGTTGTGTTCCTGATAAACATCAGTCCGGTTACGTGAAACAACTACCATTGTTTCAAGTCCCTTCCAGAGACATGCAACTTTAATTAGATATGGACAAATAATTTTCAGCATAAGTTTCAGCTTGTCTATGAACTGTTCTCCCGTAAGCTTCTGAAGTTGCCCCACTCCAGCTCAGAATGAGTCGAGAAACAAGTCTGAGTCGTGCGCGTTAATGAATCTCGTGGGGAATTTCGCTTGTAACGAAGCTCTCGGAACGTAATCATTTCGCGCCATCAAGTGTGAACCTGGTATTTTAGTCCAGTATATCCAGTCCAAATGTCGAACATGTCGTCTGATGTTTCGTTTCCGAGGGTCGAATGAAAAATGTAGTCCGAAAGACTTTCATTATCTACTTTTCTACTCTATGTGCAACAGCCTCCGAACCAGCGCATATGTTCAGTAGGTTTCTGAGTGTTATCAAGAAGAGTAGAAAGGTTGATGTGTCTTCATATCATCCTGGCAGTCTCCTTAGGGAAGTGATATAAAAAGCTACTGAACATTGGGAAAGACCCCGGGCTTTTCCGCTACATTCATTTCACCATATCCGACACTAACTGGAGACTACCCCTGAGTGTGAGCTTTCATCCAGTTGGCTTATTCTGATCCACTTGATTGGATTATGTCGATCCTCGACAGCATAGGCCGTTGTGGTAGCTCAACCAATGCGGTTTTTTCAGAAACTGTACGACCACGCACACTAGGTTACTCCTAAGTTAAGCTTGACGTTGGTTTCATTAATTGCTATATGCCTATCTCCGCTTTGCCAAGCCGTCTCTTTTTACAAGAATTTACCCAATTGTTGCAAACTATTATTTATTCTAGGAACATTCTATTTTTCCAGCAGCATAGTAACAAATAATTGAGCTGCAAACAAAACTACGGCTAATTGGGCCTCTGTGCTTCTTGAAGAGCGACTTCAGTAGACAAAGACAATCACTTTCTAAATGGACCTGCGACGGACGTTTTCACATGGTCTGTTCTTTTTGTATGATTGCTCGAGTTGCGTTTTCACTTGACTAGTACTCGCCCTGTATGGCTGTGAGACTTGGCCTATTCGAGCAACGAACCTGAGACGTCTTCAGGTGTTCGACAATCGTTGTCTCAGAACCATAGCTCGTGTAGGTTGGTGTCGGCGAATCCGTAACGATACAGTTAGAAAGCGCGTTTTCGGTTGTGTAACGGGTACTTCCATTGAAGAAGAAGCTGCTTTGGTTGGGACATATGTTACGTATGCCGAACCATCGTTTGCCGAAGACAGGGCACGTTTCAGGCAATGAGCTGTTAGTGAAAAAGCCGCAGCCGTTTCGTAAGGACCGTCCGCAGCAGGAAATCTCAAAAAGTCTACAACATATGTCGTACTGCGATGGACTTCTCAACAGATCCGTTTATATGTGGATAGAAGCTATATATATATATATATATATATATATATATATATATATATATATATATATATATATATATATATATATATATATATATATATATATATATATATATATATATATATATATATATATATATATATATATATATATATATATATATATATATATATATATATATATATATATATATATATATATATATATATATATATATATATATATATATATATATATATATATATATATATATATATATATATATATATATATATATATATATATATATATATATATATATATATATATATATATATATATATATATATATATATATATATATATATATATATATATATATATATATATATATATATATATATATATATATATATATATATATATATATATATATATATAGCTTCTATCCACATATAAACGGATCTGTTGAGAAGTCCATCGCAGTACGACATATGTTGTAGACTTTTTGAGATTTCCTGCTGCGGACGGTCCTTACGAAACGGCTGCGGCTTTTTCACTAACAGCTCATTGCCTGAAACGTGCCCTGTCTTCGAACCGGATCAGGGTGTGAAACATCAACTCTCACTAATGCATTTGAAGCAAGCATAAAGAATAAGCGACGTTCTGGTACGATTATTTGAGCTGATCGTGACTTCCACTTTCACACCTTTCATTTATCCTGTCGCTTGTGACGTGACCACGTAGACCCGATCACTGGTACTGTGAGCACTTGTTTTCATTGGGCAGATGCAATCATAAATGGATTGTTCGGCTAATGTATTTACACGAATGCATTCCATGTGATTGTGTTTTATGAAGCTCTGCTTATTGAGAAGGCCAGCACTCTGTCACTCCTTTTCTGACAAGTTTGAGCGGTGTAGTTGAAGGCCAATGGTCTCTAGAGCAGAGTACATTCATTTGGCCCGGTAAGAGAACCTGAGATGGACAACTGGAATCCAAGATGATAGCACTTAAATCCTCGGAAATCCGTCCTTTTTTCTGCCATAAGACTTTCCCGCTCTTCGTAGCATCCCTCAGTCAATAAATCGATAACTGCTTGGTAACTGAGCCGCAAACTCATGTTCGAATCAGATTGCTTCAGAAATGAATCTCTAACGCGCCGAATTTTCAGAGGCACCCGATGCGTAAAGAGAGTATCTAGCATCCGGGAAGTAGGATATAACCAATATTTATGACACTCATCTCCCATGTTTCGACTTTCGCTCTGTTTCCCAAGAGCGCCTACTGATTTTTAGGATGAAGGAACTCTAGCTTCCTTACTATCTTCTCTACCTTGAAAAAGAAAGGAGGCCGCCTCGGTTTTACTGGCTTCATAGCTTGTCTTATTCATGTTGTCATGAATCACTTTTACCCTTTCTATGGTGTCGCCCACTGTATTTGAACAGTCCTTTACTGGTTGATGAACCAATCAACAACGTGTTGACACCATTGGGCCTCCTTGTGCGAATCGTCATAACATCTTCGCTGTCTGTTCACATCACATCTTACTAAATGATTAACTTAAATTTGTTTTCTCTCTTCCAGCATGTTCCCATAGCACCCGACGAAACTGAAGAAGAACTTCCCGAAGAAGAACAGAGAAAGCGAGACGCGTTCAAAGCTAGACGGCGGTTGCTTGCCTTGGAAGGTGCTGACGGTCTGGATTTGAAAGCTGTTTTGGCGCACCGGGTGTCCTTGGTAGACAACGTGGAAGAAGAGGATGAACCTAATTGGGAAGACAAACCCCGGACGGAAAATACAGTGAATCCAATGGGAGCTAGCTTTGCTTCACAATCGACTAGTTTTGATTCATGTACAGCTTACGCGTCACACGAGGATGGAGCGAACGGTGCGAATCACATCACTGATTCAATGAATTCTTAGCGACTGCAGCGACTCGAACAAGGCTGAGCAACTGTCTACTCGCGGATATCTTCCCACATCTACATTGCTTCCCTGATCACCATGCCTCTTATGTGCTATCCATTTGCTTGTTTACGGTCTTCGCTTATTTTGTGCACGCTGTTTTTTTAAATGTCTTTCATGTGGTATTTACATCCCATCTTTACGTTACTCCGAATGCTTGATTTACAGACTGTGATCGCTTTCTGCAATCTAGACCGAACTATCGTGTCCTATTATTGTGAATTTTATTCTTTCAAACTCTTACACAGTCATTTCAGTTTTTTTTGAAAACGTTACCTCTAATGCATCAACATACCCCGCTCTAGTAGGCTGTAAATAGTCCATTATATGCTTACATGTCATTGTATGCATACATCTATACATATTTTAACTATACTTACTATCGCTTTCTAAAGGACGCTCACTTTAAGGGTGAATTACTGCTGGAACCAATTATAATCCCCTCAGCCCATACGATTGGGACGATTCTTCTCAAGAATGAAATTCTCTTGGACCAGACAACGTAAACGTTACTTCTGTCGTGTTTATTATCATTACTCCCGTTATTTTGGTTTTTGATCGAATTGCTAAGCTCGGTTCTGCATTTAAAGAATCCCCTGGCCACCATTATTACTCAACATCGGCAGCTCGTCTTGTTACTTTCGGTTCCATCATCAGGACGTATCTCAATCAGCAAATTTTTCGAAGTTTGTTTGTGTTCCTGCATCGTGTTGTTCGCACTCCCCGGGTCCGTCATTACATTCTCCATTCGATGCTACCGGATGTGCAAGATGCTTCGTTGGTGGTCGAATCCAGATAGCTATCAAATCTCCCGTAACTGTAGTGACTAGCTCTCACACCCACGACGATGTACACCTCGGGATGACGCGTTATGCACTCTTCCCATTTACCTTAGTTTAAAATCTTCCTGTGTCTTTTAAAACAACATATTCACGTATGATCAGGATGGTCAATTTGAAGGCGTCCTTGTGTAGTTCACTGTTATTGGCTCGGCTACTCCGGGTATCTCAGATTGGCAAATGTCATTTCTGCCATCACAGTGCAGGAGGCCTATATCGAGCAACCATCATGCTCTATCTAAGCCGATTTTATAGCTTTCGTGTTCATTGTCTTCAAGGTATTTATCCGGCACTCCATCTTGTGCCCCATCGTCCAAAACAGCACCAAAGGAGGACAAAAATCCTAGATAAACATGTGTGTACTCGAAACGCCACAATACTCTAACCCCCCCCCCCCGTTCTCCGACCTTCGGGTGCCATCGTAGTTAGCGACCTTGGCCAAGGGGTGGATGCATTATTAGACCACGAACGACTAAGTATAGCGTCACTCATTCTTCAGCCACAGGTTTCAAATCAGTTGGTCCCCTATTGACTGGCTCCTCGAGTGACGACTTCTCGGAAATTTCGCGTCTTGTGGATTATTCCTCCTTCCGAACCAATTAAAGTGTATGCTAGCTTATTTTCCCCTCTTCCATGACCAAAACCCCTCAATAGCTTGTGAACACTCCACCGGCCATCCCAACTTCCGTTTAGATTTGTGTTGTATGCAGAGACCCCAGTATGTGATAACTGACAGGTTTATGTCACCGCCTACCAGGTAGGTGTGGAAGCCTAGGAAGACCTACCTGAAGTGGAATCATGCGGAGATAGGGGAACTAACGTGAAACGTCAAAAGAGAGAACGGAAAAAGCGTAGGCTCAAACAACAATTGGTACTAGAATCTGCCACAGAATTTGAGGTGCCTTGAAGTAGCTAGAAATCCAAAACCTCGGTTTAGTAGTGGTCTGGATGGGCTTATCTGTAAATATATTGGCACGGCTGACCAACCAACCACCCTTGTTTGCCCCTAAAAGTTTTACCTTATTGCAATAGCTGGCCGAAATCAAAGCCGTAAGAGCGGATCATACTGATTTGCTGTCATCCATGCTTCTCAAAGTGTGCGCTGACATTCTTATCGAATGGGTGATCAATTCAACTCGTTCACTGGTAGAAGACCGCTGATTGTCGCACGGTGGCCAGATTTACTCCCATATTAAAGTAATTTCGACATGTATAAGCCCATCAGTTTTCTCATCGAAATTTGCTTTTGACATTGATTACCGTCATCCAATCGCTTCTTTATTTGGTCGCAATAGTAAGGCTGTTCACCTGAACCTTCCTGGCCACCCTGATACGCTTGGCAACATCCTCAGATGGGTGTTGTTCCGGCTTCTATTGGATGGTGGCGACAAAGCAGCACTTGTCCAGCCTCTTCAAGCTCACTTCAGAAGTCGGACTCAGTTCGTCAGCCGGGATAGCCAAAACCCCACACAAATCCCGAGCGTTCCTTAAGGATCTGTCTTGTATTTATTCTTTTTTTCTTAGTGGCCATACCTCCGCTTTTTCGTCCACTGCAAATATGCTCGTGCATTGTTCGCCTAGAAGTCTCCTTAAATCTGTAGACCAGATTCAGTGTACTTACTGGGTTCTCTCAGGAGTATTCATTGTTACTCAGTTCCCTGAAACATCATGACGTAGGATTCGTACAAGCAAGATTCCACAACAGTTTGCTCAGCAGTTTCCCTGTCCCCTATGTTGATGAGACTTGAAGTTCCAGATGCAGTACCATGGAAGTCCTCGGGATCAGCTATTCCAAGTAACCTTGTTTGGTTCCCTCACTTTGGGTTCACTTTCACCCGCAGTCCGAAAATCGTCATTTCGCACTCTTTTTCTTTCACACTGGATTCACTGTTTCCCTATTGTATTGCTTTGGCCATCTAAACAAGACGACTGTTTTGGTACCTGAAGCATGTTACAGAATCAGAGAGATCCCGCACGACATGACTGTCAACTTTATCATCATCTCCGTTCGATATCTGTTTTGTAGTGCCATCTTGATGGACAGTCTGAAACTACGGCCCAAATCTGGACAAATTAAATACAACAGTATATTGTTGTATGCTCCACTATTTCGGGTTGTTTTATGTCTTTCCAGCGTTATACTTAGCCTTTGAAAACTCACCGAGTACTTACAGCTTTTATTTTTAAAAAGTAGCTGACATGTGGTCAGTGTGTGTCCGCTTCTGACGTGCCCGGGAGAATCTCGGACATTTCGAACCGAAGTACCCAGGGACCACGTGACATGACAAGAAAATATTTCCAAAGGCTTATAAAATAAAGTGAAATCAATCTAATTCAGATAGACAGCGCCATTTGTGGTTTGACGAATTGTTCGTTCCAGCTAAACAGAGGAATTAGAAATGCAACTTCGCGCTAGTTCACTTGAAGAGTGATAAGACCAAAGTGAACTAGAGAGCTAATCGATAAATTTTTGAGGACTTCTGATGAGTGTGTACCGAAATATCAAGAATATTTAAATTTGGTTCCCTTTGATTACACTGCAACCAAAGTCTGCATTCTGTTTCATCTTTTTGGCAACTCCTTGTGATACTCGTACACAGTATTGACTTTATTACTGCTCTCTTCTAGTAAACGTCGAATCAAATTAAGTATCACCAGATGCTCGTGGGGTCCTTTCGAGTACTATAAAATGCAATTTTAGATGAAATTTCTGACAGTGAGACATGCTAATAACAATGTTAATTTTTATTGCTGTCTGTAACATTTTGCGCAATCCGTTTGGAAGAAGACCGAGTCGTTTAGAGTTCACCCGCATCGGCTTTCCTGTTAAATGTGAACGATGAGTGGATCCAAGTCGGAAACATCCATTTGAAGCTGCAGCTCAAGGAGAGATTTCGTTGACCATAATAGCCACTGACTGAGATGTCTGATCACCGCGGTAGATGAGTGCTGGGTTGTATTTTATGTTTTTATGACTTCAGGCTTGCAGGAAACGAACAGTTTTTTGCATACGGAACCATCAAAAGACAGCCGAAACCATTACGATTTACTCGAGGCTATTTAAACCCATAACTGCCTTTCATTTGCTGTTAAACTGCCGGATGAGACGTTTGGTTTTTCTCCAGATATTCTTGTTGACAAGCCATCAAACTGATCAAGCCTTGGCTACGGTTGGCCGATGCGTAGTCAAAGATAATGGAAAGGTGGCGCATGGTCTTCAAACACGCGTTCGCCAACGGCTAAGTGGTTTCTATTGAAAAATAGCGGCTTCGGTGCATTTGTTAACAACAGCACTAAATGAGTATCCAGAGCAACATAGATAGAGGAACAACTTCTGGTGAAAGAATGGATAAGGTTCTTTGGAACTTGACATGAGTCACACATGCCTGTCCAAACGGCAGACAAGATTAACAGCCATAATACAACCTCAGGTTGTCCTTTGTTAAAGCCTGCTCTGAAAACTTCGAGGGAGCACGGGACACTGGTGCGTCTGCCTTGCCTTTCGGTTCGGATCGCTCTGACGAGGTGTGTGTTAAGGCCAAGAAAGTCTCGAGGGATAAGCATTGTTTGTTGCACGATGTTCTGTAGAAGCCGTGAGAGCAATAGACCATCGTAATGTCATGAATTTTCCGTTTAAGAGGTACGCTTAACTGGCGGACGTAGCACACAGGACAGCAAAGTGGCATTCGTGATCCGCAATTCAACGCTTGCCGGTGATCACGAACATCGATCAAGCACCCTCAAGATGGCATGAAGCCCCTATACTATCCGTGTAGCCTATGAGTACCTGTGGTAATGAACGCCGAACAAGCCATTAAACGCTGACGTCCAATAACGAGCCAAATGGAGTTCCATTCTCTCCGCATTGCCTCGGAGCGAACCCAGTCGTCGGCGACAACTCGTGGGGCTGCTCACTCGTCCTCGTCCAGATCTTACTGGCTGGTAGACGCAAGAGGTAGGTAGCGATTGTTTCCGGATAGGCAAGCTAATACTGTCACTTGACAGTTCTTAAGGAGACCGATGACTAAGCTAACATCTACTGTGCCACCGCACTATTGTCACTACATGCACATAAATGTTCAGTTGCCACTGTTAAATCATTTCATGGCTAAAAATCGA